TTATAACTTGTTCAAGAGATCGGTGAGTTCATTAATGTGGAAATTCACCGAGGTTCCTTCCTCCATGTGGATATTAAAATACCTCGTCCATAGAAGTATTTTTGTATTGGCAGAAAGTTTTTCATACCTATCTTGCAAGGCCTTCAACAAATCTTTCGCTGTAGTCTCTTTCGCCACTAGACTAAACATTCATTGATAACGCCATTTTGATGTTCGCAATGACCTGTTCATCCATCTCATTTCAATCCTTGTCTATCATCCCTGCTCGTCTCTCCCCTAAAGTCTTGTGTATTTTCTTGCACATACGAACATCCTTTACCTGCATTTTCCAAAAACTGAAATTCTCCCCGGTGAACTTCAGAACCCTTTGATAATAATGGTGTGCGTGATATTTGTCACCCATGATGCTACAACCTTACAGCTTTGATACCACTTGTTTGGAAATTGATTGACCTAAATAATTTCCCCTTCCACAGAAAATATCCAACACAACTAATAATATGCAAATAGAAAGAAAACAGTAAAGAACAAGAATATGATACAGCAAATTATACTGGTTCACCACTAAGGGCTACGTCCAATCTTCCACTCAGATGTAGGTAATTCACTAATATTGTTTAGGATTAGATACAGTAACATTCTCTAAAATATCCCATAAAGGTCTCAACAAAAGCCCCCTTAGTTTCTAAGTATTTTACACAATTAATATTTAGAAACAGAAATGAAAAACTCATAAGAATCAAGATCTAATACCCCGAATACGTTGATCTTGATCGATCTCAATGCCTCTGCCAACGCCCGAGCCCTCCCCTTCAAACTGCCAAGAAACTCTCTAAAAAACGACTCAAAGACGGTTGGGATAACCCAAAAACGGAAAAACTGCGCTTTTATAAAGTCGACACAACACCATGGCACTACGGACGAACATCGTCCATGCCTCCCCCATCTGGACAGCGCCACGACGCTGCCTCCTCGGCCCGAGTGGCTTGCACGTCCACTTCTCCCCTGTTTTCATCCTGCTTCGATTTCGACGCGCCCCGACTTGATCCCGACTCTTCCCTAGCTCGATTCGACGTCGTTTTGACTCCACCAATCCCAACAGGTTGGTTGGGTCCAACTCTCCTATCGCTTTCCATGATCGCGAGATTCCCAATGTAATATTTAGAATGTGGTTAGTGGGCACAGTGTAATATAATACATCCTTGGCCAATATATAAATGAATATTGAGGTATTTCTTAGCTTAGCTATATATACATATATATGCACCCATATATAAATACGAGTTTGAAATTTCATGTCTTAGCCTATAGTCAGCTCTTTTCATTGTTCTACATATCACATTGTTTTTCATTACTTAACAATTTCAATATAATTTCTGCCGATAGAATAATATCATTTAAAGTTTTTATCTTTTATTTTTATAAATGTATAGATTTTGAAAGAGGAAACTGAGGAGTTAAAGTTTAGATTTCCTATTTCTTAAATGTATAGATTTTGAAAGAGGAAACTGAGGAGTTAAAAGTTTAGATTTCCTATTTCTCTAGGTTTGTAGTATTTGTTTACACAATGCATGACGTGAATTTCATAATTTTATTTTAAAATCTAAATAACATAAAAATTAATTATATCGTTAAAAGCTGAATAAATGAAAAGTTAAACAGTTAAAATTGTTAAATTTGTTTTATTTGGTGAGTATAGAGTTGAGAGAAAGAGTGATAAAACAGCTTTATATAGTTGTTGGTAAAAGAATTACAAAATTTTTTAAATTTCTTTATTAATTATAATTAAAAATAAGTCGTGATTTTTTTAATTAATTAGTACAACAAAGAGACAAAACTTTATATATTATAACTCTTCGCATTATTAAGTAATTAAAATAATTAAAACTTTAGAAATTTAATTATTAAGTATAATTAAAAATTACTATAATTTGTTTGAATTATTTTATAGAAATAAAGACAAAACTGTACCTATTATAATTTTTGACATTATTAAAAAAAAAAAAAAACCATTCTGTGTTACTCAATAATTAACTTATTCTTTTTATAACTCAATAACTCATGAGAAATAGATTTGAGAATCAATTAATAGATACAATCGTAGAGAAACAGAGATTAGGGATGGGAGAGAATAATTTGTATTTGAATAACAAAATTACAGTGAGGCAATGGTTACTCCAAGGAAATGAGAATCAATTTTTTTATTCCTTGAGCGTTTACCAAATTCCAAATTGTTGGAATGAGAATGAAATGATGGACTCCACCTACTTTTCTCATTCTCATTCCTAAAAATGGACAATCTCATTTCTCTGATCGATTTCATTCTCATTCCTTATTCCGTGGATCCCACATATTTATTACAACCAATTTTCTACTTTTATCCTTTTTCTCTCATCATTAATGAGATCTATAACTTTTTATTTAATTGTTTTCTATTTTTTTTATTTCTTTTTCATTTATACTACTAATAATTTTTCTTTTAGTAAAAATTTATATCACTTTTATGAGTTGATGTTATATTATTATAAAATATTTAATTTTTATTTAATTAATTTAATTATTATTAATTAATATCATATTTTAAAAATATAATTCATTATTATCAATTATTAATATAATAAATTTTAATAATATTTTATATTAAATGATGATGGTTCTAATAAAATAGTATTTTAGTAGATGTAATTTTATTTTAATTATTTATTATTTATTAATATTAAATAAATTTTTTTGGTAAAAAAAATATTTTTTTATCAATAATATAGTAATACAACAAATTAAAAATAAATTATTATTGTAATTAAAAAAAATTAGCACCACAATATATGTGTGTTTAGCTAGAAAGAAGACAGAAGTATACTAGTAATTTTCATATATCTGATTCTGATTCCGATTCCAGACAGTTTTAGCAAACAACATGAAAGGAATTCTTATTCCAATTCCATAAAATTTATGGTAAGCATCATCAAAGAAATAACATTCACATTCCAATTGATTTGATTCCGATTGATTTTCATTCCGATTCTTGATAGGTAAACAGGACCACAAAATAATAGTGAAAAAAGTTAGAATAAAATGGCAAAATAGAGAGAAAAAATTTCTTTCTTTCGTCAATAATACCCATACAAAATAATCATAATATGTTTTTCTTTTTCATTTTCCACAAACATGGTTGAAAAAAAATTATCTTTTAAATCTTTGTTTAGTTCTTTTTGTTCCTCACATTCTACATGAAGCAATACATTATATATAACAAAGCAGCCAAATTACCAATTTAATTTACATTACTCTCTTGAAATTTTTTACACGACAACATAAACATGAAAAGATGTACATTTGAGAAAGATAAGAGCATGAAACTTAACATGTGATGGGGCAGCTTATGGAACCACGACTTAGACGAATTGTTACAGTAGTTGATCATTGTGACGATAGTAATTGTTGTTGGCAATAGTTGGGCTAAAAGTAAAAATGTTGACGATGTCAAAGGAAAATGAGAGAATGACAGAAAGAAAAAGTTAGAAAATTTTCATGGTTGATTGGTAATAATATTTTGAGGGTGAAAAAGGAGATTTAGCACCAAAAAAAATCTAGAGATAAAATAGAGTAAAGAAGAAAAAAAAAAGCTTGAAGGGTTGTATAGAGTGACGAGAAAAAGAGTCCTTTAATAGCTGTGAAAATGAAAGAGGCGCCAAACCCTTTGAAATTCCAAAATTTTTTATATTAAAAAATTAAATATAATTAAATGTTATAATTATTGAATTAATTTAAGTTAAAACAAAACTTTTCGTATTACATTTTATAATTCAAATTTAATAGCTATTGATAATTAATGGTGAGTGACATGTTTTTAAAATTTACAATTTTATACGGAAATAAAATTGTCCAAATTTTTTTTCCAAATTTGTAGATTTTTTCAATATATTTTCAATGGTTTTAAATTTTAAAATTATTTTTTAAAAATAAATTTACAAAACCTTTTTATAATCAAACTTTCACATTTTTTTCATTTCAATTTATGAGTGCATATCTAATTATTTATTTTAATATAGTTTTATACTTCTATTTTTTAAACATTATTTAAGTACTATAACTTTTAAATTTCATTATTAATTAATTAAAAAGNAAAGAATTGAGAGGTGGCGTGGGAAGAGAGGAGACTAGAGGGTGAATTAGTGGAATTTGAGGAGACTTAGTGGGTAGGATTTGAGAGGGAGAGGGTTGAATGACAAAAAATACCATTAAAATAATAGGAAAAAACATTAAAAAAAAAGGACAAAAATAGGGAGATAAAATTTTTTATTTTGTATATATAGATTTAAACTAAATAATGATTCTTTTTAATTAGCAATATTTAGACTTTCTTTTTCGAGCTTAACCTAGTTTTAATCTTTTTAGTTAGCTTAGGCTTGAGGTATTAATTCTTTTTAATTAGCTCTATTTAGGCTTTCTTTTTAGTTAGCTTAGGCTTGACTTTGCTTGAGGTATTAATTTTATTTTCCGTTACGTTTGTCCCAATTGTATGGGTTGTTTCTAACTTTTATTTTTATTATTGCTTATTTTCTGAATTTCGCTTTTGGTTTTCTAGTTGTGCAGTGATCTTAAGCGGTGAGTGTTTATTCCTTTTGCAATACAAATTTATAAATTCTTTTGTTTTGGAATACATTACAAATACAATTTTCTAAATACTATAATAAAAAATCAAAATTGTCAACATAAACACAACTCAGTTGGGAAGACATTACTTATGCCTCAAAATTTTTTGAGGTTCGAATCTTTCCGCTCTTTGTTGAACTTAAAAAGAAAGAAAAAGGTCACCATCGAGTTTTTAAACTTCGAAAATACAAAATACAACCCTTTTTTTCCCTTAAATTATTAGTTTTCAAATCCTTACTTCTAATCATAAACCAAACTCCCTTAAACTCTTGCCTTGAGAGTTAAAATTCACTATAAATATATGCTAGAGGTGCCCTCAAAGTTTCAATTAAAGCAAACTTTGCTAATATGGTCGTTTCAAAAGAAGAACCGACGAAAATGGTGAAGCTTTTTAAGAGAGAATGGAGCATGATAGACAAAGAAATGGCTTTCTTTTATGTCTTTATTCATGTAGTTTGTATTTTTGCACCGTTTCACTTCAATTGGAGTGCGTTTTGGGTTGCCTTTGCATTACATATTATTACATGTCTTTTCGGTATTTCTATTTCGTATCATAGAAATCTTTCACATAGAAGTTTCCAGCTTCCCAGATGGCTTGAATACTTGTTTGCTTATTGTGGGGTTCATGCGCTCCAGGTTTGACAGATTTGACAACTTATTCTTTCCTTACTCTAAACACACATATTAGCAACAAGACGGTTTAAAATTATTTGAGATTAAACTTAGCGTATCGAAATATCTATTGTCTTTTGAAAGTTTTCGTTGTATTTTGCATTTCAGGGTGATCCAATCGGTTGGGTGAGTACGCATAGGAGTCACCATCAATTTGTTGATACTGAAAAAGATCCACACAGTCCTATTCAAGGATTCTGGTTTAGTCATCTGACATGGATGTTTGATTCCAATTCTTTGACTAAAAAAGTTTGTCCAAAGTATTTTGATAATTTTGAAGAGGTAAAAAGAAGYGGTTGTGTGATTGTTGGAAAATATGGGAGACCAGATAATGTCAGTGACTTGGAGAAGCAAACTTTCTATAGATTTATTCAAAAAACGTATCTTCTTCATCCAATTGCTCTTGCATTCCTACTTTATGCCCTTGGAGGACTACCTTTTCTTATTTGGGGAATGGTAAGATAAAATCATTCTAATTTCAATTTCTTTTTTAACTAATAGTGTATATAGATTTTGAGGCGTGATATATCATACTCTTTGTCATGCAGTGTGTGAGGACTATAACGTGCCTACACATAACATTTATGGTGAACTCAGTATGTCATATATGGGGAAAGCAACCATGGAAAAATGGCGATTTATCTAGAAACAACGGGTGAGTATAAATCTTATACGTCAAATGAAGTAGTATGTATCATATATGTATACAAAACAAATTTTCAATTGAACAAATAAAGAGGTTGAAGATCGAGAATGTAATAGGTGTCTTATTAATTAAAATGATGCTCAAATCGACACAAATGTATTTTTGATTAAGTGTCAAGTACACTAACTAGTATACCAACTTGTTTATTTATATGGTTTTTTTTTGTATAGAAGTATTTAAATAAGTATGAATATGATTATTTTGTGATTATTAACGTACAACTTTGACTATTAAACCAGTAGTTCATATATTCATTAAATTTTTTAGATGAATTTTAGGAAAAAATAAATTAAACCACTTTTTTAATAAGCAAATTTGGAAGAATTATTCATTTTGTATTTAGTATAAAATTTAGATAACTAAAATTATCTTATAAAAATCTATTATATTTAGTAATACATAAAAAAAATATTTTTCAAAAATCACAATGAATTTAAAAATACTTTAAAGTGATCACGTCAAAGTATATAGTAAGAGAAAAACATATATGTTGATGAGTATAGTCATCTAATACTGAATAAATTTTGTAATTATTGTCACATTATTCAATAATTTAATAAATACAATACAATACTTCCTAAAACGAGCATATAACTCAGCGGTAATTGATATATATCTTGTAAAAAAAAACAATAAATCTAATTTCTCGTCTTACATAAATATCGTACTTTATTATTGATTATATATATTTTTATTGCTTCTTAGGTGGGTGGGTTTGCTTGGATTTGGAGAAGGCTGGCACAATAACCACCATGCATTTGAGTATTCAGCTAGGTTTGGACTCGAATGGTGGCAAATTGACTTTGGCTGGTACGTTATCAGGCTCCTCCAAGCAATTGGAGTGGCCACTAATGTCAAAGTACCCTCTCAAAGCCACAAGCAAAGACTCGGCACGACAAACCAAAAAGACATGCTTAAATGATATTTTAAATCTAGAAACGATAAGATTTTGCTCTTCACCGGTGAGGAGCAATCTTGTCTTTACCATCGTTAAATACTTTACAACTCATTATCATTCAAAAAAAAAAAAAATTTGTTTTTGCTTTATCTTTCTCAGTTGTCAAATATTTAATGGTGGTAAAGACAAGTTGTTTTTTACTGGCAAAAAGTCAAGTTTTATCCATATAGAAATAATTATGTCTCCACAATAATGATGTAATATGTTACTATAATACATTATAAGTTAATATTATTTTGGTCCGTACTTTTAGTTATGGTTTATTTGGTCTGTATATTTTTCAAACCTTYTATTTTGGATCCTATACTTTCAAGTTTTATTCATTTTTAGTCCATCTATATCGAAAATKTTTGTTTTAATTCATATACTTTTTAAAAGTGACCTATCTCACGAAACTAGACTAGACTTGAAAGAATTTTCAAAAAAATATGAAATAATAGTTTAGGAGATATGGTTTTGTCTTTCTATTTTGGACTTTATAGTCCTGTGTATGTGTCAATATTGTGTGTWGAACATATTTCCAAACAATTTTGAAGAATGTAAGCATTATTATTACTTGCAAAAGTCATACTAAATGAAATTTATGTACTAGCTAGRAGTACCTTGCTCAGTATAAGAATAAAACTTAATGATATCTTAATATCTCTGGCTACACTAACTGAGATAAGTTTTGTAGTGCTAACTCGTAGAGATTCTTCGCAGGGAATTTTAGAAGCGAAACTTGGAAAGAATGAACATGATATTGTATTTAATATATGAGTGTTACAATCTTTTAACTTAAAATCATGTGATGCTTTCTCTCGAGTATGAACTTCGACTCAAGGGTTKGAAAGCTTGTTCTTTAATTAAGAAGATTGAATATATAACTTCTAGTTAGGGAAAGATTGATCTAGTTCTCGATGCAGTCTTTGACTTATTTGGCTATTTACCTGATCGACATGTGGCACAATCTGACAAGATTAGTCAATTTCATCTGATGGCCAAGTGCCATTATTTTATTTGCAAATTTTTGTCATTTAATTTCAGGTCGCAAATTTAAAAATACATGATTTCATCATTAATTCAAAATAATGACGTGTCAGTTATTGAATATTCGGCCAAAAGTTATCATTCTAACTGATGTCTCGTTTTCAAAATATGTGCACTTATTTGAGCGTATGGATCTGGAAAAAGAAAAAAGTATTTTGTAATTAAAATGTAAGACATTCAATAATAATTTTGATTTTGTTTGATATGTTAATTAATCAAAATGTATACATTTGTTTCAAAATTCTGATTAATCTTCTTTGCAATGCTGCTATCAATTTTAGCCAAAACTATGACTTATAAATAGCAAAGGAGTAGTCTTCTCCACAAGCTATCCCTTTTGGATAATTCTAAAATAGAAGTAGTCATTAATTCTCAACAACTTTCACCCTAATGTGTTTCGATGTTTGGGTATTTTTCTGCCTTTTCTGCATTACAACAAACTCACCATCAAATTGTTCAACAACCCTTACCTGTCCACATTCAAAATGTTAAAAAAAAAAAACATCCAGAACTTTATGTCGGATGGTGCAAAAATAGTTTTGAAAATATTGATGTCTTTTTAATTTATATATTTTGACATTTAATATGTCAGAATTAGATTTTTTTTTTCCCTCAAACTTTCATTATACTTTCAATTAGGGAAAATCTACGGACCCCATCTCCATCGGACCCGCCTAAATAAGGCTAGAAATCCCGGTTTAAATTCTCCACGATGTAGGGCTAAATGTGGACGAGAACGGGGAATGCATTCCTCATCCCCGATTCCCATTCCTCACCTCACCTCACATTTTTTAATATATATATTATATACTTATACTAAAAAAATCTTATTATTTTTTCCATACTTATATATACCGTATAAAACCATATTCTTCCCTACCCATCAAATATATAGGAGGAGGATTAGACCATATAAATAAAAGTTTTTATGAATTCCCCACAGGGAATTCCCACCCCGATCCTTGCAAAATTTAGTGGGGAATTAAATGGAGGGCGGGGATGGGGAGGCCTTCCCCGTCCCTGCCCCGCCCCATGAACATTCTTTCTTTCAATTTTTGTCTACTAGAATCATGAAACTTAAAAAATAGTTTAATAATATGTTCCTAATTTTTTTTTTTTTGGAATAAGATATTTAATCTCTCACCTCTACAGAAACAAGATGCCTTGTTACTAAGATATGTTTATGTTGGCTATAATTTTTTTTTCTATCGAATGAATAGTGAAAATTAAGACAACAAATACTTTCAAATTTTAAATTTGAATCTTTAAAAAATTGAATTACATTGAAAAAAAAACTTTGAGACATATGCCATCCTAGGTATAAACTCACTTCATTCTTTTTTAACTCATAATATATTGTAAATTATATAACATTGTAAAATAATAATTATACAAAATTTACAACATATATATTAACAAATTAATTAACAATATTTTAGATTGAACTAAATATATGGATAGTAGCTATCATTAGTTTACAAATATATTATCAATCACGCTTTGAACAATATTTTAAATTGAATACAATTCTATTTTTTTTATTGAATCTCACATTTTCAAATTTATGCTTTTAAATCACCAACCAATGCACTATTATATTTCTAAAAAATTGAAAATGAGAACGGAATGTTGGCAAACATAACGAATTTTGTGAAAGTCACCTAGAGGTGAATCTCATATTTCCAATGTGTTTAAAATAATTAACAAATATTAGACCATTAATATACGCATAATATTAATAACAAAAATTTTAAAAGGTAATACTATTATGGGTTAATTTAAATATTTTTTTTGTAAATTTCTATTTTTATTAGTTTTTAAAGATATCCATTATCATGGACATGCAATTCCTCATCGAGGATTGGATAGAGATGAAAAATAGATATTTTGTAAAAGTTTAGAGCCTGAAAGAGAGATTATGAAAATTCAGAGAGTAGAATACAACAAAACCCAAACATCAATCGATTTAAACATTCCCAAAATCCACGGCGATGGGTGGAAAAGTTCGTCCACTCCGCTCATAAAAGCTTGAGCAGAACTCCAATTTCCACGCGGATTCGAATATGAAAACCAACAAATTCAAAAAGTTGAAGCGGAGACTTGGAAATCCAAGGAGTGGACTCTGTGACGCACCAGAAATCGTCAAAGATTTTGAAGCAGACTACTGTTTTCAGTCAAGTCTTCGTCGTCTTCCCTTTTGCTTCACTGTTTTCTTCCCCCCTTAAGCCCCAATCCCATTTCCCAAATCTCCCCTTCTTCAATTTCACCGATTGCGAGACCATCAATCGCAAAATCGCCGCTGGAAATGGGGTGTTCGGGCCGAATTTTGAAACCCCTTTTCTGTTTGTTCTTTGTTTCTTACTTCTCTGCCGCCAACTCTGAGCTCCCGAGTGCTCAGCATGCTGCCATGGTCGACCTCTCTCGGCTTCTACGTTTATGGGATGTTAACATGGAGCCGAATCCGTGTTCATGGAAGGGGGTTTTATGCGATTCTGATAATTCCTCTGTTACTAACATTTTTCTCTCGGGATCTTCTCTTTCTTCAGAGGAATTTCTGCCTGTTATTTGCCAGATTGATACTCTACAGGCGCTTGATTTGTCGCGTAACCACTTGAGTCGTATTCCGGAGCAGTTCATCAAAGATTGTGGAGGGATTTCTGGGCTGAGGTTGCTGAATTTCAGCAGCAACCGGTTGGTTGGCTCTCTGCCTACTTTTGTTGGTTATAAAAATTTGGAGATCTTGGATTTGTCTTTCAATTCCATGAATGGAACTATTGGTTTACAGTTAAATGAACTGGTTAGTCTTAAATGTTTGAATCTTAGTTCCAATGGTTTCAGTGGCCCTGTTCCCACTAGAATTGGAAGGGACAAGGCCTTAGAACAGCTCCAGCTTTCTAGAAATAGATTTCAAGGGACAATATCAGAAGATATCATTAGTTATGTGAACTTGACTTATATTGATCTTGGTGCAAATTATCTTTCTGGGTCTCTTCCTTTGCAAATTGGAGATCTCTCCAAGCTGGAGTTTCTGATTCTGTCTGCCAATAATTTGAGTGGAGAAGTTCCAGAAAGTCTTTCAAAAATCAGCACTCTTGTGAGATTAGCAGCTAACCAAAATAACTTTGCTGGTAAGATTCCTAATGGACTTACAAATTATGTGAAGAACTTGGATCTTAGTTATAATAATATGAGTGGTTCCATTCCAGTAGACCTCTTATCGAAACCGCAACTAGAGACTGTAGATTTGACTAATAATGAATTAGTGGGACCAATTCCTGGAGATGTATCTTCTAGTTCTAACTTGGTTAGGTTGAGGCTGGGGAGCAATATGTTGAATGGGACAATCCCTGAAACATTTGGAAACCTTCAGAATTTGAAGTACTTGGAATTGGACAACAATCAGCTGACTGGTTTGATACCAAATGGTTTGGGCAGTTGCAAGAATCTGTTGCTGTTGAATTTGGCCCAAAACAATTTTTGGGGCAGGCTGCCAACACAGTTGGGGAATCTTCAAGGTCTTCAAGTCATGAAACTTCAATCTAACAACCTGTCTGGAGAAATTCCATCAGAAATAATGCAACTAAAAGAACTGACAGTTCTAAATGTTGGTTGGAACTCTCTCAATGGTTCAATACCGCCTTTGATATCAGTTTTGCAAAAGCTTATTAACTTGAATTTACAGGGTAATTATCTCACTGGTGCCATACCCAATACAATTGGTGACATGAGTTCATTGATAGAACTCCGACTAGGGACAAACCGTCTAACTAGTCCAATTCCGAGAATGCCACGGAATTTGCAGATTGCTTTGAACCTAAGCAGCAACCATTTTGATGGGCCGATTCCGAGATCTTTTTCTCTACTTGTTAATTTGGAAGTATGGGACCTCTCAAACAACCAATTTTCAGGTGATATTCCAGAGTTTCTGGCTCAGTTGTTATCCTTGACAGCGCTGAATCTTACTAACAATCAGCTCTCTGGCATCGTTCCGATATTTAGGAGTTGGGTTTTGCTCGACACAAAAGGAAACCCGAATCTCACTAATCGTACAGCGATTGACACTTCTCCCTTATCTGAAAAGAAGAGAAAGCCAATCATTGTGGCAGTCGTCGTTGTGGTTGTAGCTTTATTTGTTTCTGCTGCCTTGGTAATGTTTATTATCTTCATGTCGAGGAGACGTAATAATAGGGGGAATGTCATGGAATTTCAAGAGGAAGATCCTCCTACGACAACTATTATTCAGGGGAAATTATTGTCTCTCAGTGTCATCCACCGCTCAAATATCGACTTTTCTGAAGCCATGGAGGCAGTTTCTGACCCATCTAACATTGAAGTGAAAACTCGATTTTCAACATACTACAAAGCTGACATGCCATGTGGATCAAGCTATTATGTTAAGAAGCTCAAGTGGGATGACAAAATATTTCAGCTGGGAAGTCATCATAAGTTTGGAAAGGAACTTGAGGTCCTTGGGAGGCTTAGCAATTCAAATATCATGACTCCTCTGGCTTATGTTTTGACCATTGAAAGTGCTTACCTATTCTTTGAATATGCCCCCAAGGGCACTCTTTTTGACATTCTCCATGGTAGCTCGGGAAGCGTCCTTGATTGGTCGAGTCGATACAGCATAGCTATAGGAGCAGCTCAGGGCCTTGCTTTCCTTCATGGATGTGCATCTGGTCCTGTACTTCTCCTTGATCTATCAAGCAAAAACATTTTCCTGAAGTCCCTCAAGGAGCCTCAAATAGGTGACATTGAGCTTTGCAAGGTGATCGATCCCTCAAAGAGCACCGGAAGCCTTTCGACAGTAGCTGGTTCGGTAGGCTATATTCCTCCAGGTAAGAAAACTGTTGCCTTATTTTCAAAAACAAAAAACTTGACATTGTAAATCTAGTATATCCTATCATTTTCTACTGTAAGACTGTAAATAAAACTATATACCCTTCCTATACGTGCAGCACTTTCCACAAATCAGCTTAGTTTTCTGGTTTCCACGACGATATTTCCAGTCATTCCATGTGTTCCAATTATACTAACCACAGAGTTTGAGTTTTTGACTATTCTTTTCTTCTTTTGGCGTGATTGCAGAGTATGCTTACACAATGAGGGTGTCGCCTGCTGGCAACGTCTACAGTTTCGGAGTGATTTTACTTGAATTACTAACAGGAAAGACAGCAGTTAGTGAGGGAGCCGAGTTGGCGAAGACCGTTCTAGCTAACCACTCCAAGCAGCAGCAGCAGAAATGGGAGCTGCAAATCCTGGATAAGACTATCAGCAAAACATCTTCCGACGTTCGTAGCCAGATGGGCGCTGTCCTCAATGTAGCGGCTTCATGTGTGTCTCCATCGCCCGAAGCAAGGCCGAAGATGAAGACTGTCCTGAGGATGCTCCTTAATGCAAGATAAAACAACAGAGTCCTTCTGCATACTACAAATTGGAAAGCAGCTATGGACTTCAGTATATGAGGTGATAATCTTAGCTCTAGTTATTTAGTTTGTAATATTAAGAATTGAATTGTACTGCTAGGTTGTGTATATATATATATATTTTTTTTAGTATCTACTCCATGTAAAATATACAAAATAAACCTAAGAGAAGAAATCTAATGAGTCATACTGTTACAATATATGTCAGTGATCAAATAAATGTTTGAACGTTTTTAAAGCCACGGGTAGTATGTTAGGTGTTCGGTTTTAAAATGTATTTTAAAGTTTCTGTTAAATGATTCATGAAAAATTAATTACGTGCGATAGTTTTATATATGAAGTTTTGAGACTATGTCTAAACCGAAAGTTAGAGATCATAATAGAATGAGTATGAAAGTTGACTGAATGAACGTTTAGAGATCAAAACAATATAAGTAAGAAAGTTTAGGGATGGATAGAATTCAAACCATCGTATTCAGCTTTTTACCTTGTTAGTTGTTGATTCACTTGATCAAATTTGTAATCAATTTAAAGTTCTCATTAATCCTTATATTCGACTATGCTTCTCTATCCTTCTTCTCTCGATGTGGTTCGCTAATTAATTTGTGGTTTGTTCATCAATGATCTGTCATCATTTTTTCACCCATCCTAAGAAATAGATGATGTGTGGATGCGACTGAAAATTATGTTATTTGGTAGTTTGTTTTGGAGAATTGTTTTTTTAGAACAATATATCGAGGTAGAGATTCAAACTCACGATCTTTTAACTAGATATAGGCGTCTTAATCTGTTGAGCTATGTTCTGATGGGCTGGAGAATGGTTTTTAAAATTTGTGATACGGTGATTTGTAAAGGTTGAGATTATTGGCTGACTTTTTTTCTTAAAACAATAATTTCGTTTTTTTCCCTTTAAAAATGTCATCTCTTCGTGAAGAAAAAGAAATGAATTTTTATATGTTGTTTGGCACTAAATGTCGAGTCAGCTAGTTCGGATACTCACGGATATAAAAAAAATAGAAAAACTATACTTTGAAATCTAATTATATAAACATGTTTTTCTTACTTTCTGTTTTCATAGGAAAACTATTTCTAAACGTCATCTCACCAAGAAATTTACTTCACTCAAATTTGCTGTCAGATGGAATAGAAGGTTAGAGTATTCAAATATATAACAAATTTGAAGAGAAAAAATTTACACATAAAACTTCCATTTTCGCATCCTGAATACCAATTCATTTGGATCTCAACAAAATTAAAACCCTAACCCTATTTGATAACTATTTCTAATAACCAATTCAAGTTTCTATTTTTGTTTTTGAAAAACGATTTTTAAATTTCACAAAAAAAAAAGGAGGAATTTTAGAGTAGTTTTTAAAAACATATTTTTGTTCCTCAGAGTCTCATTTGTTTCAAATATTTATTATTTCTCTCCCTCCCTCCAAATTTTTCATCTCTATGTATTTTCTTTTCTTTTTTTTCTAACATATCACCCTTATTTATCTTCCTAAAATTTAATATTTTCCCGAACTTTTCTCTCTATAAAATTGTATTTTATAACTTTTCTTTCTTTTCTCGATCTCATCCTGATTCCATTTTTTAAATAATTAATATTATATTTTATTGACATGAATAAAATATTAAATATTTTTAAAACTAATTATTTATAATAGTAACTAAAATAATTAATATATATTTTTATACTTCTTTATTTTTTAAATTCTAAAAATAATTAAAATTAATTATAAAACCAATAATTTTTTCTACAAATATCCACATCTCTAAATAAAGATTCTTGAACCTGGACTGAAGAATGAGGTGGCAACATGGGACTTAAAATTTGCAAGAGCACGAGAATAAGAGAGGGCATCCTCATTCCGATCATTTCTATTCTACATATAATTTTCTCTCTCTAACATATATTTTCAATTTTCTAACTTCTTAAAAATAGAAAATAGAAAACCAAACATATTTGATAAAAATAGTTACCAAAAATGTTTGATTTTCTGTTTTTAAACAATAAAAAACAAAAAATACTTATCAAACCTATATGGTTTTGTAAAACAAAAGAAAACAAAAACAAAAAACAAAAAGACCAATAACCAAAAAAATAAAAATCGTTATCAATCGACCCTAAATTATTGTGTAAATCAATACAAACATAGTTCTTCAATCCAATGATTTAGTCACACACAGCAGTCCAGCATGACCAAAAAAAGTTTATGGATTCCATAAGAATACAAGTTTTGAAACAACACAATTTCAAAAAAAAAAAGGAAAAAAAAGAGTTTTGAAACATAAATAATGTTCATCCTCCAAAATTCTGCTCGTGTTCTTCACAGAACGTGGGAAAAGATTGAGAAAATAGCTTCTTAATTTCTACCACTTTCATGGACATCACATTTTGACTCGTGTGTGAAAACAAACTTCAGATCGTGAGAAGAAAGCTAAAGAAGAAAAAATCTGGGGGTTAATAAAATGCATGTAAAAACTATAGTGTTAGGTCTTTAGGGTCCTCAATGATTTTCGCCAAGGTTTGCAAGAAAGTAGCAAGATCTGCACCATAGATTACTCGATGATCCGCTGTTACGTTTACCTACATGGTTTCGAAGTCCGAAAATAAGGATATGGAGGCCTACGCTGAAAAATGTACATTAAGAGTGGTCTGAGTTTGTTACCTGCATTTGGTTTTTCTTGCCGATCCGACCGTCCTTAGTTCCCACAACCGTGGGGATAGATGCTCCTACTGCCATGATTGCTCCCTGCATAAATTAGGTTCTTAATATTAACAACTACGCAGCAGAGCTATATGCCAGAGAGGTCCCTGGCCAGAGACGAATTTGGGAGAGATAAGTCAGAGTAACGATACTCACAGTTCCGGGTGGCAGTATTGCATCAAAACGATCCACGCCAAACATCCCAAGGTTAGAGAGAGTGAACGTGCCTGCATAATGAAAAGGCATGCATCATGTGGAGCTCTGAGGAACTTAGAAAGCAACAAAAGAAAAAAAATAATTCATGTGAAAATAATTTCAACCCAAGTAAATGTGTGAAGTGTGTTACTGTGAACTATATAAACTACACTTGTTAAACCAAAACTTCTTTTAGCTCATTCAATAACTTGGTTTCTTTCCTTTTGTATATAATTCCAATAAGGAACAGGATTAGATTAGTTCTATACTGCTGCATCAAGAGACCCCACAGCATTTATGTCTCGGAACTTGGAAGTCTTTCCTTTCTTAACATATGCTAGAAGTTTTGGGGGGTTTTAGTCAAAACCTGGTTCTCCCTAGTCCATTTCTAGCTTCGTCTCGATTATGCTGACGCATCATTGCTAAAACTCAGAGCTAAAGTCCTCTGGTTCAACGCAGTGAGATGTATTTTTGGTGAAAATTTCATTGGAAAGAAATAAAAGAATCTATTAGGATATCCAAAGAGATTTGATGACTTATGTAGGAGTCTATTGTTTACAGTTTCTCTTGGATTTCTAGAGAATTTTTTTTTTGTAACTACGACCTAAGTTTCCTTGAACGGCACTAGTTGGAAGAATTTCTTATTAATTTCTCTGGTTTTGTAGCCCTCATGCTTTGTTAATTTCATGTTCAATGAAATTATTACTGATAATCCAGCTTGATTCTTAATATTACTCACATGTAAACCTCAAGAGTCGTGCACACTGTTAAAAGACACTTGGATTGAAGTTGAACCAAGTTCATTTGCAAAAAAGAAAAAAAAAAAAAAAGTAAAACAACCAAGTATTCATGAATTTGAACCCCTCTAAGACATTACTTAGATACTATCTTTTTCAAGTCGAATATTGACTCAATATTCTAGGCAGTTGAGATCAAAACATCGAGGATTTCTAGGTATCCTACATTGCAGAAAATGTTAAATCTTCAGAAAAGCTATTCTAGAAAATAACTAAATTTGTAAATTCCACAACTCGCAAGATCGCAGCTCCTACAGTACTTCGAAATATCAATAATTTGATTTCAGATCAAATGACCACAGTAATCTACTAGACTTCAAATGAACCTGAACAAATAAACATCTAAAACCATCGCGGATGAAGCCATTCTCCTGGACAGAACTTTTTTTGCGAGCTAAAAAAGATTCCATTTATATATCTAAATTGATCGAATTTTACTCTTTTTTCCTTTAATTTTTTCATTTTCAGACCAAGTTCAATGCACTTTCCACGAAATAACTTGTTTGACCGTACAACACTTGAACTCAAAATTATAATGAGTCATCATCAAAAACTTGAAAACCCAATCCTTAAAGGTACCTACCTAGTATCTAGATTTATAATTATGGCATACCCTCTTTGATTACTAATTAAAGAAAACGTACTGCACATTCTTATTGAGCAATGTACCGGGGTACGGCAACTTTCTAAACATTTGTAAATAAGAGTATAAGCAAAAGTCTAGTGTAATTCTGCCCAAAGAGGCAGTGTGCTTCACAAAATTCTCAAAACTGTTAAAATCTCTAAACCTATCTTTGAACAACCTATTGTTTCTTTCAATCCAAGGAGACTGAGGAGTAGATCTAATTATGCTCTTCCAAAAAATTCTAGCCTTTCCTTTAAATCACAACCCCAAAAGGAGCTCTGGGTGGATGAATTTGATATTGTCATGCACGCACCAAACCATACAAAAAGTATTACATATTCTGGACCATCTAACCAAGGCCAAGCTACATCCCAAAAATAAATTACTACTGATTCATTGCTATTGCCACAGTTAGAGCAGACTACGAGACATAAAACCAAGTGGGGGATTTTTCTTTTGCACCCTATCATGAATGTTTAAGCTCCTCTTGTAAGCAAGGGGTCAAAGAAAAATTCACTTTCTTTAATGCCTTAATTTTCCATATCTCATTAATCTATCCATCTTTTCACTTTTAGATATAAGAATGGTAGCCACTTTACAAGTGATTAGGAGTTTTCTTGTCCAGCATCCCGCAAAGATCTGGCCACTCTTCAAACTCCCTATCATTGAGGTTTCATCTCAGTTTTAAATCCAAATCTTGGTAGTTTTGATTCCATACATCTGCCACTGCATACTGTTTGGACAAAGAAATATCGTAGTCTCGAACAAGAAGACCAAAGAGGGCTAGGGGACCAACCAGCATCTTCCCAAAATCTAACCCTCTCCCCCTTGCCAACGTTAAAAGCTATTACTGTCCCAGCTGCTCCTGCACTTTGCAATTGAAGGCCAAGGAGATTTAGAACAGCCACCTGGAACGTTCCAACCCATAAAAGCTAGAAATGATTTCCTCCAAAGGGAATCTTTCTCACTTGAAAATCTCTAAAAGCAATTTTGTATGGAATGCAAGGTTTCTTCCCAAAGTTCAAGCCCCCCACACTAAGGGGAAGAGAAGCCTATTTCGATTTAACCAAATGGCTTACTTTTCGATCCCCTGAGCCTCTCCAGATAAGACCCCTAATAAGTTTTCAATCATTTTACAGGGACCAGTAGGGATTTTAAACACAGACACAAGCAGTAGATGGAGATTCTAGAGAGAACCGCCTTTGCAAGGGTAAGTCTACTAGTCTACTAAAAGAGTTGTAGCTTTGCACTTCTCCGCCAGTCTATTAAAAGAGTCCGTTACCAAAGTGGAAAGGAATGGTGAGACTGCATCTCCTTGACAAAGATCCTAAGAGACTGGAAATTTAGCCCTCTATCAACAATATTTGAAGTTTCTTCTAGCAATTTTTGTTGAGGGAGGGAGAGAGGGAGAGTATTAATATCCAAACTTCAACATGATGGATTATTGAAATATAAGACCCCTCAAAAAACTACTTCATTGCCTGACCTTTTCTTACGTCCACCTTTTCTGCACTACTTTACCCTTCTATCATTTGAGAATTGTCCAAAACTATAGAAGAAAACTCAAGTTTGTCTTGATTTACTCTTCTTCTCAAGTTTGTCTTGTCCTTTACGATATGCTAGTATCTAGAAGGTAAAAGTATATAGAAGGTGAGATTCTTGTTATGGCTAGTGGTTGAGTTGATCTTTAATATTTCGGATCTTGTTAAAAAGAGATTTATCATATATGTGTCAGCAGTTCTACTGGTGCAATTCATGTAGAGAGTAACCCACACATAAAACAATTATAATTGAAGGGGAAAATGGGTTGGTGTACTACCCTTTATTGTATGTAATCTGAATGTGTGCTCTTTAAGTTGTTTGATATTTTATTTTGTGCATAATCGAAGGCAGGTTACTTCTTGGAGTAAGTGATCAGATCTTCCACTTATCCTAGAAAGACAGATTTTTTGGAAAAGCTGGGCCTGCACCATCTACTGGGGGTTGATGGTCAGAACACGAGAAAAGGATTTTTGGAGATATGTTTTTACTTGTTCGGGAATTGTTGAGTTCAATCTAATACAATGCTCCTATTTGGTCCTCCACATTATTTATCATATGGACTTCCTCCCGTGATACACAAGTTAAGTTTCTTTTCCTTCGACAGGTTTTATTTGACAAGACTCTTTTTCAGCCGTCCTGGTGCATTTGGAGTCCTTTCTTGTACTATCATATTTCATAACGAAATTCTCACTCATTCTCAAAAAGATAAATAAGATATAATAACTTTTTCCATATGAATGCAAGTGAAGGACTAATTACTCCATATTGAAAATGAAATATGAAATAATCAAAAAGTACCAGTGTTGTATTCTTGAGGTTGCAGCTGCTTGGCTCTGGCCTTGTCAACTAACTCCTTCCACTTTCTAGACAAAGAGTAAATGTCCACCTAAAGTACAAATCAAGTGCAAACAATCAAAGATCAAATTAACATATGATTTGAAAGACAGCAGAACATTAGGAGACTAAAATAACCTTATCTGCGTCTTGAAGCACTGGTGTAATCAAGCCACCATCAATGGCAACGGCAACTGCAATATTGATGCTACTGTTATAAGTGAAGCTCTTACCATCCCTACAGCTTGAATTTACAATGGGATGTTTAGCCAGTGCTAGAGCTGTAGCCTTTGCAAGCAATGCTGTCATGGTTACTCCCTTTGACTTAATCTAAGAAACATAAATCACTCTAAATTGTCAGCAAGGCAGAAGACAACTTCTAATTCTATCCCAAGCTATTGAAAAGAAACATGTTTCAATATCTTCAAAATTTGCAATAATTCTAAAAGGCAATGATTGGTGCAAGAACAACACTACCATTTTCTCCAAATCGATAAGTTTTTACCTTTTTGTAGAGAGCATCAAGCGCATCTGTAGTGATGGTATAACCCACTCTGAAAGTGGGCACCGCGAGACTCTCAACCATGTTCCTACTCACTGCACCTTGCATTGTGGTGAATGGCACGGTGGTTCCCAACTCCACCGATGACGATGGAGCCGAAACCGGCCTGGCAGCAGAATCCGGAACCGAAACCGCAGAAGCTGCTGCAGACGCCGCGGCTTCGACATCCTTGGCCACACTTCTCCCCAATGGCCCAGTCCCCACCACTGTGGCCAGCTCCACATTCAACTCCTTCGCCAGCTTCTTCGCATATGGAGACGCCACAATCCTCTTCCCCCCTTCAGATGCAGGGTGGGAGGAAGCCACTACCACCGGAGCCGCCTTTGCCACCGCAACCGGCGCCACAGCAGCTACACTCTCAGCAATCTTCTCCGGCGGAGGTCTCGAAGCAGGAGAACCCGAACCCGCCGAAGGGTTCGCCGCTCTCGACTTGGCCTCAGAAATTTCGTCCTCAGTCTCAGCCAAAAGCGCGATTGCCGATCCAACCGGCGCAACACCTCCCTCATCGACCATAATTGCGGCAAGATAGCCATCATAGAACGTCTCAACGTCCATATCGGCCTTGTCGGACTCGACGACGACAACGCTCTCGCCCTTGGCCAGCTTGTCGCCCTCCGTCTTGATCCAGGACACGATTTTGCCCTCGGTCATGGTGGAGCTGAGGGCCGGCATGAAGATCTCGCGGATCTTAGCCTGGGCTTGGAGAGAGCGCCTGGTCCAGCAGCCGGAGGGGTGCAATGTGGGTCGGAGAAAAGCCCGGCGGCGGAGGGTGGGGGAGGCGGCGGCGACGAAAGAGGAGCTGAGGAGATGAGCCATTGAATCTAGAGCTCGAGAGAGAGTGGTGAGTGGGCGTTGTGTGTTTATGGAAGGTTTTGTAAGAACACAGAAATTCTCGAAATCATCGAAATTGGGCGGAGGTCTCAACTCAACCACCTTACCGGTGAAACCTTTTTCTTTCTTTTCCTTTCCCCTTTTTCTTGTCTACTCATTTTTGTTTTGTTAGTATGTTAGCTTTTTCTTTTCTTTTTAGGCTATTTAAATATTCCTTTCTTTCTGTTCTCAAAATATCTATTTTAATTTTAAATTTTTTTTAAAAGTAGACGTTTTATTTTACTAACTCGTATCCACTTACTCATTAATTGCCTCTAATCAAACATCTGAATTTCTACAAAGTTATATTTGAGTTGACTCCATCGTTACAATTTGTCTGACATGCAAACTTAATAGCTCATCGATTTGTATTAGAAGCAGTTGGTTCTTGCATAAATAAATTTATGTTTCCCAAGCTCCCACCGGGCTGTCTTGTGCTGCCAAACGGAAAATTGCTGAAATTGTAGCCCATGTGGCATCTTCATAACTTTCATGAACACATATTTTTATCTAAATTATAATAATAATAAGCAACTCGAACCTAGGTGGGCTAAATACATACTTACATCAACATATTAGTGCACATACTTGAAACTATCTTATTAATTTGTTAAAAGCAAACTAAATGTAAATGACAAAATGATTGTTTCTTTATGCTCCGTTTGACAGGAATTGGTAGAAAATAATTTCAAATTTCAAGATTTTAAATAATGGAAATGATTTCGAATTCCTCATTGTGTTTGGAACCAAATTGATTCTAAATGAAATTAAAATTTCTTGTTTGGATGTTCATGAGAATTGAAACGAAAGTATATCATTCGACTATTATGCCCTTGTAATTTTGTAATATTATATTAATAATAGTATAATATTTTCATATGAAATATAATCATTTAATCAAATCAACTTAATAAATTAAAACTTTCCATTAAATTTTTAGAAAAAGCAAAAAAATATTTGGAAATATTTATATTGAAATATATATTTTTAAATATATATATATGTGAAGATGGTTTAAAAAAAAACTTACRGATCTCTTTCCAAATCCATTTTATTTGGAACTGAAATTCTTTTGACCCTAATTAGTGTTATAAAATTGAAATAAAAAGAAAATAAAACTGATGGAGACCATCCAACTAGGTAATCAATTTGAATTTTGATTGAATGGTGATCCAAAAAGACGTAGGTAGAAAGACAAAAGAGAAAAAAAATTGTAGTATGTTTGACAATTTGCATAGAAAAATATTAGAAAATAATTATATGGGTGTAGGGTGGAGTGATGTGAATAAATTTAAAAAAAATGGAAAATCTATTTTCAGAACTATTTTTCTCCTAAAAATAGGGTAAATTTGGAACTTCTTGGGTTTTAATTTCAAATCCTTCCAAATCCGACCTATTTTGAACGAAAAATTTCTTGACAAAAAACTGATTTAAATCACTTATGATTTCAAATTCCTTCCCTTTCTTTTCGCACGAAATGATTTAAAAATCAATATGATTTGCAATTCTTTGCAAATCAAGGGTTCCAAACACGGGTTAAAGTTCAATGACTAAAATGAATATTTTGAAAGTTTTGTGGCCAAAATGGATATTTTATAAGTTCATGGACAAAAATAGAATAATATCTTGAAAGTTCAACCATAAAATAGGATTTAAACATGTTTATTTTAGAGAAAGCATGTGCTTTATTACTGATGTTTGAGTGTTTTTTCAATTAAGTCTCTCATTTTTTAACAATTTTCATTTATACTCTTTCCTTCCATAGGTGAGGAAATTGGTTCACGATGAGCTTACACGAAATAATATTGAATAACTCAATAGAAATTTAGAGGAGAAATTAGTAAGGGTGTTCAAGTATAGTAAAAAAATCGAGCCGATTTATCGAAATTGATCAAACCAAAAGCAGTCGATCTATTTTGAAGCTAAACTGTCCGTGGTTGATTTTGCATATCAAAAACCGACTAGTCGTTCGGTCGGTCCATTTGAACCTGTGGAAAACCAACCGATTGAGAGAGTGTGTTTGTGTGGTTCTTTCGACAACGGATTCTATTTTCGTCGTCGAAAGGGGCCTTTGACAATGAATTTTCATTTTGTGGCCATAGATCTAGTCGCCAAAACATGAAATTCTAGCAACTCGAACCTAGGTTGGCTAAATACATGCTTACATCAACATATTAGTGCACATACTCGAAACTATCTGATTAATTTGTTAAAAGCAAACTAAATGTAAATGACAAAAATGATTGTTTCTTTATGCTCTCTTTGGCGTCTAGAATTGGTAGGTTAAATAATGGAAATGATTTAGAATTCCTCCTTGTATTTAGAAGTGTGTGTGACTATTCCCAACATTGACGCCAACCCGCTCATATGCTCTCAATGCCGATAGCCACTCCCTCTGTCTCTCAACGTCGACACCTCCATCTCCATTTCAATTTCTCCTACGTCCCTCTCTCACATTCTTCTTCATGTAGCCATTAAGGTTTAGCCTCAGTAGCAAAATGGCCCAATGATCTACCTCCTCTCTAACATTTTCCTTGTACAGCAACCATTAAGTTTCAATTGGCAACAATACAATTCTTTACATTTCTAAGACGTGTACAAATTTGAAACGAAAGAAAAGAATTATAAGTTATCATAAAAAATCGAACACAATTGGAATTAAAATAATAACAGTATCATTCTTTCTTTTGAATCGAGGAGTTATTTGTGTTGCTGGCATCAATGGTTATTTATAAAATATAACCATACTGCAACATGTGAGTAGCAACATTGAACTCCCTAACCAACTGCAATATTCCTTTCTTTAGTTTCTCATTCAACTTCTCCCATCTTAACCTTCGAACTATTGTCAAAATTTCATTTGTGCGTGCATTTCTGCCCCTTTTATTCTAGCTTCCTCAGAAAAAATACCTCTCTATTGTTGTTGTTCCTACTGTAGCACTCCTTTTCTCGCTCTTCTTTTTCTTTTGTTTCTCAATCATCTTTGTTTGAGCTTGGATTTGCCAAGCTCGGAAGGAGGACAGGTCGGAGTGTTCGGAAGGATCTTCTTTGAGCAACCAAACACCCTCCCAGAACACTTGAGGAACTTGCAAAACAAAGTTAGTTCTCATCCGATCTAACTTGCCGAGTATGTCTAGATTTGCATACTTTGCATTTAAGACAAGAGTTTCTATTTATAGAAACTAAGCCTGACAGGAACTCTGATACACCTAAAAATGCGGCGTGTTGTCAGGTTCGGAAGAGACACGTTACGGACTTCATTGAAGGTCGGCTCAGCTTCTCAGGTCGTACCCTAACTGCCGACCTCAGTGTTTTTAGGTTAATTTCCATATTTTGCACGGATGCCAATTCAACTCATCTTTTCGATCCTAACACGTGGCAGGTCAAAATCCACATCCAACATTGGCTCCAACTTCGGCGGGCGGAGGTCGGCTCGGCGAAGTACTCCTAGCTAAATGAGGATGAGTTAAACCCACGTGTCCATGCGTGACATCATGCATTTCGTCAGGCCTAATTTCTGTCTCGAGAACTCAAACGTCGCCACGGGGATCGCCCATCGTGGACGAATCTTGTCCATTGATTCTCTCTCGATCGGACAGCCCTCGTGCCTCCGGGCTGCTCTATAAAAAGCGGAGTTTTTCCTCTTTTTCACTTTTCACTTCGAAGCTTTTTGAGTACCTCACCTGTTGCCCAAGTCAGGTACTTTCTCCCTTTTCCATTAGGTTGTTTTTTAGACTCTTTCCTTAGTTCTGACCATGAGTAGCTCGTTTAACGATCCGTCGTCCGAGTCATCTAGTTCTTCTAGTATAGATAATGTCTTAGGAGACCCGAACTTAGCCTCTACCTCGGGAAATCCCAACCTAGCCTCCACCTCGGGAAGGCCTGTGGCTAACCCGGTATTCGAGCTCCCTTCCTCAACCTGCTCGGTGGGTAGGCTGGTTGAGCTTCGCAAAACATACCTCATACATGATTCCGTAGGGCTTAGGGTGCCCAAGGTCGGCGAATACCTCGAGGATCCCCGTCCTTGTTTCGTCAGCTATCCTCAGATATTCAATAAGGGGGTCAGGCTTCCTCTTCACCCATTCATCCAGAGGTTCCTTAGCGCGGTCAACCCTACCCCAGCTCAGCTCTCTCCCAACGAGTTGTCCACCGTGCTTGGGGCTTATGTTCTATGGTGGATCATCCGGGACGAGGATGAGGATAGACTCACGGTAGATCAGCTCTTAGCGACTCACAGTCAAAGCCTCCAATGAGGGAGAGGGTCGGTTTTACCTCTCTGCTCAGCGGAATATAGGTCAGATTATTAGGAATCCCTCTTCTAATAAGAATTGGAAGGAGTGCTGGTTATTCGTCTCCGGCGATTGGCTCGTGAAAAATGAAAAGGGTGAGTCGATCTGCCATGTTCCAGTAGAGTTTGGAGACGTAGGTGAGTGTCCTAGGTACGAATTAGGTATTTTCATATTTTCGCGCCTTTGTTTGTGACGATGCTTCATGGTGCAGCTCTACTATCTCCCATTTCGAGGATCAGTGACAAGTCGTGGGAGATCGTCAAGCGCGCTCAG